AATTTAATTGAAATTATAAAATTTCAAGAATCCTTATTATATTGTTCCTATAATTTCATCGACTTTGTACCTACCACATGCCATTTTGCAGTCTACATTATTTGTCTCAAAGTAGCTAATCCCAACGTTATAATATTTATAACAATTATACCTACTGTGTTTTTACAGTTACAACTCACACTGTAGTTGGCTTTATACCCCTTAGCAATTTGTGTAGTTAATTTTCGTCAACACCATACACAACACAAACAATAGTGGAATAGATAACACAAGTAGATCTGATATGACTTATTTGTTTAAGTTTACTGAAAGATCAGCTAGCTTGTTGGCAGACACATGCTCCTCATTGCGTCAAGAATGTTTGTTGTCTTTTTTTTTGTTACAGTTCCCTTTTTATTTTCCGTTTAATGGCAAGTGTTGTACAAATTTTCAGGTGCAGTTATCCAGAATACCTCCTTTATAGTTGACAAATATTGAGCTGTAATTGAAGTTTTACGTACATATATATGCCTATAAATTTGAAATGTGTTTTATTATTGGATTTGGTGCTTTTGGTGTTCGTGTATTTGTTGTTAATTGCTGTGAATTTTACAGGAAATGCATGCAAACGTTTAAAAATATTGTGCCTATCATTTATATAATTTTATCCAATAGGTTTTTTTGGACAGAGTGCCTCTGCAGCTGATATATATTGTACGCTCTAGAACATGCGTCGAAATTTTCCGGTAGATTTAACGGCCATTTGAAACTCTATGGACGTAGCAACATTTGCCGGATTTTTTCGACTCTCACATACTTTAGTACAAGCGTCAACACCAGTTAATACTTTTAATTTGAAATAATGCCAAACGGGAGGAGAGGGTCAGTTATCCCCCCAATTTATCTCTCTGATGGGAGAGGATGTATAAATTAAATTATAATTAAGGGTGGATGGCGCTTGTATATTCTTTTTCAGCCAAGCTGCCTGCATGACCGACTATGTATATTATAGCTTCAGATATTACCGCCCAACTTCCCGATGAAGTTGTCCATCGCACCTGCACATTTCCAATTCGACTGAAATTGTAGTTGCAGCTCGAAACATGTCAGATGATGCCATAAATATGTCAGATATATTGATATTTACTCGATACCGCCACTGTTCCCAGCAAGACGTTGCTACTATCACTGTATCGATACTAAAATATAAACGTTCCCGCGTTATTTTGGAAAGACAGGTCCTTTCAGGATAACTGTCTGCATAAAATTTGACTACGTTATTAAATATAAAACTACAGTCGCATAAAATTAAATTAAATTACCAGCACAGATTCAATTTTGTAGATAATATTATTAAACAACCAACAACAATTTTCGGAAAGCTACGTCATTATGATAATAAGTTTTGCAAACTTCAGTGCAGAAAACACAATCATACTAAAAAAACATTTCTTAGAAAATTTGTATTTAGGCAGCGCAAATAACATATTTTCTCAGATTGAAATTAATTGTGGAATTATGACAAGGTCAACCTGATGACAAATTTACTTTCTGGTCAGTACATTGAAGTTGATTCATTATTTTTACGACTTGCAGTGTTATTTATTTTAAAATGTCATGAGTGCCAACAAAAATAATTAAGAATATCAAAAAAATCTCGTAGACTTATTATTTAACTTAAAGTGAGCATGCTTTGCTATACAATTCTAACACCAATTTTTGATATATTACAATGTTTACACGGATGTCTGCTCTTATCAAAAATGTAGTAGTTACTTGAGTGATATGAAGCAAAGTATTTTTTTTTTTGTTTCATTCCGGACAATACAAAAATTAGATGATTATCTCAAAATCTAAATAAAACTAACTCTTTGTCATTCCGTTTACCGCAAAGCTATTTCTTTTAAATTTATTCTTATTTGTTAAATGTATCTACAGGGTGTAAATTTAAATAAAAAATATATAAATGCTTCCTGATAACCTTCAGACCAAAATATGACAATTAATTTTAGTCTAAAGGTGATCTTTTGCGAGTTGCAAGTTGATATTAGAAAACAAATGTTTGTACAACATGTGTAACTGCAACATATTTGGTCATATTATCATATTTTGACCCCAAGATTATCCGGTATGTAATTTATGTGCTTCAATTAAGTGCATCTTATATTATGAGGTACTATTTATTTTTATTCCTATTGTGGTTACAGTTTTGTTTAATTATGAATATAACTGTCGTACAAATATATACTCGTAATAGTTAAAGGTAAATATTTGCGGGTCATGTTTACTTTTTGTCTGCGACTTGCTATTTTTTTTCCAAGCGACAAGCAGTTTAAGCTGGAATTTGTTTTTAATGTAGCAAATTTTCCAAACAGAAATTTCTTTCGCATTATCAAAATTTTAATGTTCCATTGTCCCTTTTCAATTTCATTACGGGAGACGTTTGTGCGATTTCCGTTTATATTTTCTTACTCAGATTTGATTTGCTTGTTCATATGAATCCGAAGGAACCAACAAATAAAAATAAAAATGATTAGGTATATTTTTTAATTTCATACCTAAATTACACTAAATTTATACACAACTCTTTAGTCAATTTATGTTTGCAGTGACTAAACTTTTTAATACATTTATATAAATAGCAATTATAAATGTGCTGGTTGATTTTATTTTCGTAATATTCTATTGTCGGGCAACATTTGTTCACGATTTAAAGTTAACAGCTTGTTAATATGACTGCGTACTTATTTGAAATCACTTGCCTCCTACAATTGCCACTCCTTAAACGGCAGCTAACAGTAAATTCAATTGAAATCATGTCGAACAGAAGCAGTAAAGATTAGTTATTATTATTAAAACCGCACCTTCTATCGGTCCAACAACTACGGACAATCAGAATTTTCTCGTTATCCAATGTTACGCATGTAAACAACTTTAAAACAGATCTATGAGCATCTAAATAGGGACCCACACTTGCTATTTTTATTAAGCCAATAGAATTATAATATCAGTTATTTTTGTGAAAGTAATAGTTTGTATTTGTTTCAATTATTTGCTTTCCCTTCTTTTTTTTTACTTCAATGTTTTAAAAGTAGAGTCTGAATTATATTATAATATAAAATTTAAAGGAATCGAGAAATAGGTACGAGTACTTATACAGTTATTCTTTGTTATACAGGGTGTAAGAAGTTTGACTGCCATTACTTCAGCATGAGATAGAGTAATCATAAATGAACAAAAAAGTTGTATATTACAGGGGCGTAAGATTAACAGTTTTCAAAATACAGCGAGTATTAATATTGGGGAGTTTCATCACAACGTGACAACAGCGCTTAACCTAACGCTACACAGCTGTCCTACGGAAAAAATGTAAACAACTATTATTGTGAAACATTTTTCGAGACGATTGTTTTCCAGTTTTTAAATAAATAAAATAAAATGTATCGATTTTGTAGTACAAAGATAGTGTTGTGACTATATTTTAGCTCGAATTTTAGTAATTATGAATCTCTTAAAAGAGGAACGGAACTTGACTTTTAATCAGATTATGAATTTGAAAAATATGTAATTGAAGTACCCAAAGATTCACGTCATCTAAATAATCATACTAAAAGTCATATTAAAAATAATTTAGGTACTTACCAAAAAGAAAAATTCAGTAATATTTAAACGCACAATTACAAAACAAACTACAACATGTCTACCACGCACGCACGACACCTTCGAATCCCATTTTCACGCACTCGCTGGAAAACAGCTCACGAAAAGGAAATAGTGGTACGCAAAAAACACTCAGACACGATCCAATTCCAGATACCAACTGAATTGCGTATTACTGGATAGCTTAGTACCTCGGGTTATCCGCCGCACCGTTGTCTCATTGCTCGGTATGGATTTTATCGAATTTTAAATTTATTACAACGTTAATTATTTTTTAGAATTAAACAAAAAGTTCAAAAAAGTGATAAACATTGTATTTTGTAGTATTCTATACACGCAGTTATGTCAATATTCCTTAATTAATTGAACTTTTGTACATCAAATTGGAGATTTTGATAATTTTTTTTTCAGAAATGGTTGAGTTTAAGACCCATGTCATATAAGGTTTTTTTGTTTATTTTAATGTATTCAATCGTCTGTTAAAATTAAGGCAATCATACAATAATAAAGTCTTTGCTCCACTTCCGAACGAACATTTCGAAACATTTCGGGCGTTATTTGACGACATTCTTCAACAATTTCTCTTTTTTGAATTTTAAGATAAAATAAGTATTTTTTTAATTTAAAATTTTTCTCAACTGCCATTGAAAATATGTAAGTAATAAGAAATTTGTAAAAAACTGTTTTTGGTAAAGTTATAGGCAACATATAAATTTTAAATATGCAATTCCACTTATATGGAGGTTAGGCACCTTTGACTCTTAGTTTCCGGACACCTTGTATTGTACTGATATCACTGTTGCACTCCGAAAATCTACTGAAACACATGATCTAAAGGTTATCATGATAATACCGCGACAAAACGTCGAGATAGGCACACGGGTTTTGTGACCTATTGTGCATGTTGCTATTAAGAGTTTTAAAAAGAGCCGTCCTACGTGCGAAGGCAAGCAGTAGCTCTGCTGGAAAATGACGCTATTACTAGCTACTCTAGTTTCGTATAAAGAATATTTACTGAAAATAAAGTACTTCTAAGTAGTTTTGTATTGAATCATCAGACATGTTTCGAGTGGCGAAATATCCGACAAAGGCGTACACAAAACAGCTTTTGGCAACAGCCGTCCAGTCGATTGGAACCCCGTTTCTCTACACATTATATCCCGCTGCCAGAACCAAAGATCGCCACTTCTCCCACCACAACATTGATAAAAAAAATACGTAAACTGGACAATGAACTGTTTCTCAAATGAATAAAAAAATCGCCTCATTGTCAGTCTCGATGAATTATTAATTAGAGCTGGTTTGTTTTATTTACCCCCTTGGTGCGGATGTGCTTGGTCTTGTCGCTGCTCTACTAATAGCCCGCTGCCGTTTCGCCATTGCTGGCCCCACCGGCCGCCACCGCCGCCCTTGAGATAGGCAAGAAGAGGCCCCGCGAGCCTAGCACCGCCGACACAGATCTATTACTGGTACCATTTGCGCCTGCTTTGCATGTCACTATTTTTCTCGTTATATTGTGTACAATAACAGTGTCATTTCCTCTGCTAATACACCACAATGAATATGAATCGTTTTGTGCTTTCACTTAGAGATTTTATATGGTGATTCTAAAATAAAACAAATATCTATAAGTATCTGATAGAATTAAAAAATTTAGGGCACATAAGCTGGAGTCCAGAAGTTAACAGATCCTGACAGAAGGTAATATCTTTCAAACATTTTGGAGTATCAAGTTGAAATTTTTAGGACCTCCACCATTAAATTTAGTTCTACCACAAAAATACCTTGTTGGGGTTAATTCAGGGGGACTGGTAGATTCTACTTTTTACTCCTAAATTTTTTATTCTCTATTTTTTCCGTGTACAAAATTAATTTTCGTAGTTTTTCTACTTAAAACAAGTATTGTAGTTCAAAATTCACGAATAATTGAGTTTAAAAGTCGAGTTTGCAGAGCTGCGGAATAATATTGCATTGTCGAGGTAGCCGTGAAATAGTGTTATACCAGTCAAACAATACTTTGACTTTCATGTTCTAAATAAGTATTCGAAATTATTGTTACATTTGAAGTGTTAGGTGAATGTTTGGATAATGCCACTGCTATCAGAAAGTAAGGAGAGAAATTTCGTCGCTAAAATTTATTGATGTTGAAAGAGTTATCCGGAAAACCACCACCACGTGGTAAGAACCTGGATAATCTAAATAGAAGACGAAATATTGGAGATTGTTGCTCAAGAGCCAGCAGTAAGTACCACGTGGTATGAACCTGGACAATGTAATTAGAAAAGGAAATATTAGAGATTGTTGTTGCTCAAGAGCCAGCAGTAAGTATAAGCCAAATTGCGTTAAAAACATTAGTTTCGCTTCACGGTGCTACATGAACAACGTCTGCATCATTTTCATTTCTGTGCAAGTGCAAGAATTTTACCAGATGATCTGCCGGTTCGACTAGATTTTTTTCTACGGTGATAGAAACGAAGTCAATCCTGGTCTCATTGGTAAAATTTTCTTCACTGGTAAAGCTACTGTGGGTACACATGTTCTCAAATAACCCATTTTTAAGCATTACGTCAAGAGCACCGCCGGACGAACCAACGTTCCAGGAAGGGTCTACGGCGGGCTGGCGCCGACGACCAGATGCGTGCTCATATACCTGCGACCGACTCCACACACAGAGACTCTCCAGCAAACAGTCGTCCCGTTAACACGTCTTTTTCTATACAACTTACAATTAGTTTTCAATAAAATACTTTATTATTACCGTTGAGAAAGCGTTTTATTCTTGCTGTACAGCGAAAGCAACACTCATTACATTCACAAGACAAGGAATGTTTAACTGACATTATCGGAGGGAAGAAAATCCTTATGTTTCCGAGAACATCATTATTAGAATTCAATGCACGGACAACAGCAATAGGAAACAAGTTTATTTTACCAAAAAATTTTAACGGTAACTTGTACCTGAATTGTTTTAGAAAACCGTCTCATCCAAGTGATCAAGGTGCATGATGGTACTCGACCTCATTTTACAAAGGTAGTAAGAAGGTGGTTACACCAACATTTTGCACTAAAATGAATTGGCAGAGTTGCACATCATCAGACTGAAATCCACTAGATTTTACTATCTGGAGTTTCTTGAAGTTAAAAAATTTACAGCACCATAGTTCATACTGAGGGATGGATAAGAATTGAGGATGTCTGCCGAGCCCTTGTGAATAACTTTGGTATTTTAAACGCACTTATGCCAGCTTTAAGAGGAAGTCTAGAATTGTATATCCAGGAAAATGGTCAACATAAACAACTACTATGAATTTTCACGGCTATCTCGACAGTGCATTACTCTGCAGCTATGCAAGTCCGGCTTTAAAACTCAGTTACTCGTTAATAATTCGCCACTAGCTTCATGCAAGGATGCCTTTTTTACGTAACATTGTATGAAAATTAATTTTATGTTGAGAATTCCTGGAAAAAGTAAAAAATAATGAATTGATGGATTCTAGGATGAAAATAACCATTGTCCCAAACCCGTCCTACCAACTAACTAACCTCAAAGGGGGATTTTTTCATGTTCAGCTAAATTGAATGGTAGATTTACCATTAAAAGCTCCCGGAAGCTTCAGCTTGATACTCACAAGCGTTTGAAAGTTATTACCGAAAAAAAGGTTTTCACCCACCCATTGAATGATTATAATTCCCCAGTTTTCATCGAAATTTAGTTTATGCATTCAGATGCCCTCAGTTTTCGAGGTTCTATTACTTCCAAAAATATTTGTATTGCGTTCGGAATAACCTTGTATTGTGCAGTTTCTTGTTTCACGTTCAAAGGGATGGTTCTGGAAAAGGAACCGAAATATACAGATCCATAGAGTTAAACTTCTTGTTCTTTATACAGGGGCTCGAATTGTACACGCCAAGCTTTGCTTGATGATAGAACATTTTGACGACAAACACCGTTTTGAAAATTAGCTTTCAACACACGATGTCCAAGAAAAGAAGTATCTTTCGCTCTATGCAAAAGGCTATTAATTGTAGTTATTAATTTTTAATTTTTATACAAACTTAACGTATAGTTGTATAAATTTCACAAAAAAATTTCATCAAGTCTAACGATCAAAAGTCATTACCGTATAAATTTCTAAGTATCTGAAAAACAGCAAAAAAAACAATTAGTGAAAATAATCAATATATACGTCAATTTTTTATGGACTTTTGATGATTGCATTGTGTTACAAATTGTATTTCGAACAAAAAATTTCTACTTGTTTTTGTTGCTAGTCGATTAGTATAAAACTTAACTTTCCAAAATAATTAGTTTCGTCGAAATGTTGGGGATGTTTTTAGTAGTACCTACCTAATTATATATCTGCCTCTGGTTGGCATATTTGTAGACCTATTTAATAAATTATTATTAGTTTCCTCAAACTATTTGAATAAATGTGATATTTATTTTAAACTTGGACACTCTGTATCTTAGAAATGAAGTATTTCTTGGCCCATGTTTTGTTCTGTCATCAGGTAAAGAATGGCGTTTACAATTCTTGACTCCCTGTAAAGGATGTCCCGAAATTAATGCAACAAAATTTGCTCATAGATTCTTAAGACAAATTTAGGACCCTTATTTTTTATTTTTGCCAAATGGTTTCCCTCTTTCGGAGTTAGAACCCCTGAAATCTGCCCCTAGAATAGTCTTCTTTATATCCCAGAAATCTGCTGTACGAGAATCACTAAATTTGGTACACCAGGGGATTTATGATATGTAGAATCTGACAGTGTTACGCTGTGTGGTGGGGAACTTTTTCGTGGCCCCCCTTGTCTTTGGAACCAAAAAAATCTAGTCGCATATTCGAATTTCTAAAAAATTATGAGCTCGCTAGAAAGCCATTGAATTTAGAAACTTTTTTGTCCCTTGATATTTTATTCGTAAAACGCAATATTTTTGAGAAAAATGGCAAATCACGGTTTTCATTCGATCACGTTTTGACATTTTTCTCGAAAACATTGCGTTTTTCGAAAAAAGTATCAAGAGATAAAAAAATTTCTAAATTTAATGACTTTCTAGCGGACTAATAATTTTTAAGAAATTTAAATATATTACCAAATTTTTTTGGCTCCAAATACAAGAGGGCCCACGAAATCGCGTCTTAAGGGTGTTCCCCGCCAAACAGCGTAGCACTGTCAGATTGCCTTAAGGGGATTCGTCGCCAAAAAACGTAGCACTATCAGATTACACATGTCATGAAACCCCTGTGTACCAAATTTAGTGATTCTCGTATAACAGGGTTCTGAGTTATAAAAAAAGACTATCCTTAAGGGTGGATTTCAGGGGGCTGTATCTCCGAACGAAAGGGCCACTTGACAAAAATGAAAAATACATGTGTTTGTCTTAATAATCTGTGACCAAATTTTGTTGCATTAATTTCGGGACACCCTGTATATATCACAAAGAAAAAAAGTATACATTATTTCCAACAGAAATACGAATAGTTGCAAAATTGATATCAGTCATGTAAAAATTACTCATATTAGGTATATACATAATATGTAGGGGAGGACTAGAACGATATTGATAAATATAAATGCAACCATATATACTAAAATTTGAAAATTCAAAGTTTCTTATTTTCATAGAAGAGTAGCTTGCAAATATTGCAAAATTTTTCGCTCATATAACTTATGCCTGTTTATTACTGATAATCGGTCTAAATTTGTGTTATTGCATTACATCTGAAAATGTTCTTTTGGTCTCTAAAATATTTGTTCAGTATGCCAAGCGAGCGATTGAAACTGAATAGACTTAAACTATTCAACTATTAAAAAAACGAAATTACTATAAATTTGATAAATATTTACTGATTCTCATAAAAATAATTAAATTATACAGGGTGATTCAAAAAACCGCTGACAGACTTCTAGGGTAGATAATACCTGTATCACGTTAAGGAGGCATTTGCGACCCTATGTTTATTAAGCCTTTTCGTCTTAATTTTTCATGTATTACTTACCCTAGTAGTTTGTCAGCGGTTTTTTTGAATTACCCTGTATATAAGGAAATGTTAAAAAAAACACATTAAGTACTAACCAAAAGTATAAAGTGTCTGTAATTGTTTGAATATATCTCCAGGGGGATTTAAATGAAAAAATGAAGTATCGCAAATGCTACCAGATAATATTTAAAATTATATAATTAAGCCAAAAATTCAGATACGTAAATATCTCGAATCATGGTTGACGTTGTTTTATAAAATTTGGTTTAAGTCGTAATTAGTTAAGTAAATAAAGATAAAAATACCGAAATATTATCAATCAGTGGATTGGGCATACTCACCAAAAATATTCGTTCGTTCGATTCGCAAATTGTATTTTAAAGAACTTGCAAATAAAGCAGCTTTGGATTAAGGTACATTTGGCCCAATTATATTTTGGTCTTAAGATTGTCTGTCATATGTGCTACTTTTTAAACATGCCCTTTCATATAAAAATTAGTTGTAAGTAAAAATGAAACAAATAAAATTATTAACACAAATGAATAAAATACACTGGTTGCAATTTTAAATTTTATTTAGAAATTAAAAAATGAATAGATCTTTTTAGAAATTAAATTAATTCATTAAGTTCATTTTAGTGGATATGGAGTAATGTAGATGCTTATATTTTAGGAAGTCTTGTGACAGTATGCTCGTATATATTTTTAAAACCATTGTAATATTTTTTGTAGTAAAATTATTATAAAGTTCATTGAAAATATTTGAGTTCAATTCATGCGTAACATGATAATTTATTAATTAATTGATTGACAATAATTATGGTTGCATGACACTGATTTTTATTAACACTGTAGCTAAATTAGCAATGATTAATAAAAATGAAGGTATCAATGCTGTTTCATTTAAAACATTTGTATTGTATCTAAATATAGTCGAAATATAGCATTGTTTCTCAAATACAAATAAAGAAGCCACAATTCCCAATTTGTTAGGAAATATTAGTATAAATCTCGCGTTTCACAAATAAAGTTCCGACTGATTTTTATTAAATTTTACACAATACCTATTATATTACCAAAGTTGCTACATATCGATATTAATTTGCTGAACCGTAAAACATAATTAAAAGTGAAATTATTTGGAGCTTATTGTTACAAAATTTAATCCAGTATGGAAGTAAATTAAATATTATTAAATTAAACAATTAAGAAATTAGAATTCATTGTGCAAAAAAAATCTAAAAACTATGTGCATCGATTATTATTATCAGTTAATTTTAAGCAAATGTTTTAAATAATTCTTGTTTCTTTTGTGGAAAATATGGACATGATCTCAATAGTACATACGTTAGTTTTTATGAATATGGTATTTGTGAGACGCATGTTTTAAACTATTTCCTGATAACATAACAAAAAATGACGAACAGCTTTAAAGTAGGTAATAAGAAGGCTTCGCTATAAATAGTAATTTTGTATTTAATTTTTTTGACATCTCAATGATTTTAAAATATATTAATAATACTTGCCTTCAAAAAATAGGATCAAAGACTGATCCTATTTTTTCTCATGACCTATAGCTAGAATAGTTTGATATTTTTTCCTCGCCCTACTTATATAATTATGCAGAATAAGAAAATCATATCAATCATGTTCCACAAGAATTTGTTAATTCGAAAAGAATAGCATTTTAAGTAGGTACTTTTTTTAATTTTTTGTGAAGAAACATTCAACACTAAATTATATACATATTTTTACGGCGACTATGAACATTTTAAATTAATTTTGAATAGAAATTTCGCTATAATTGCAATTTCGGCTTGATATTAACTCTTTGAAGAGTTTTAGCTTCTTCCGTCAAAAAGATTTTTCATAAGACTAAAAAAAGTTAAGATTTATTACATTGTGTTAATAATTTATAAAATCTGCCACACACTGCTGTCCGCAATAAATCATTGCGGTAATTATCTCTTTAAAATTTGTTTACTTAAGAGACATTTCAACATAAGCGTATCTGCATATCTCTGGCAATTAAAACCAGTTAGCGGTTAACATCCAGAGATGAGTCAAATTCCACTTTTGCGTTCCACTTTTACTTAGATTGTGAATAAGTAGGCAGACAGCATTGCGTAATTTCTTCGCAACAAAAAGTGCGATGTAACTATTAATTTAGGAGAGTGCAGAAACATATGTGAATGTTGTCTGATGTCTAATTTTATGGCTTATGTACATATACCCAACTTCTAAGAATTCGTGTGTGATATAACAAGTCGGGGTCAATTTGTTTCGTGCATAATATTTAGGCACTCTTCAGACTGATTTGTTAGATGTTGCAATAGATTTAACAATTCTGAGTAATAGTTTCAAACAGTTACTAAAAATAGTATATGAAATGATATAAAAGAAAGTGTAGTCCATCATTATTGTACATTTATAACAGAAAAATTGGTATCTTAAATAACTTTTGCATTTAATACTTCATATTCATTGTGTGCATTAACAAATAATTTAACCCAGTGAGTACACAATATAATTTTGTATAATCACACATAAACACACACATCACATTTTTAACACGTAACGGGTAGTGGTTTGCAACTTAACTACATATTTTCAGGATTCGTCGACTTGGGAAAATTATGCAGCAAAATTACCCATATCTTGTAAAATTTTTAGCTTTTTATCCTTTAGCATTGCTTCATCCTGTAGAATAATGTTTATTCCAAATTTTCATACCTCAGTAGTGGTTAAATTGAAACAAGTACTCAATACATCAACATATGTATGTGTGCGTTATAAAATTTAACCACTGCTACTGAGACACAATACTGTACATATTTTTATGTAGTATTTAAGATCCCAAAATTATGTCACCTGCAGGAGAAAACTACAGCTTTATCGGCGTACATTTTTTAGAAACACGCTATATATTTCGTGAAAAGGGTACCAGAGCTTTTGTCGTACATTGTGATCGTGCTTCTTGCTAGTATTTGCACACAAATTCAACACTTAACACCATTCGCTTTGAGTAGATTCTTTTTGTAAATATTTAAATCTCTTTGATGCACCAATCGGATTTCGACTGAAAACGAACAGTTTCAGATCCTCTACTGAAATATGCTTAGATCTAGTAGTTCAGTTAAACTAGCCGTTGAATCGATGAGATTTTGTACTATTTTAAGATCAGTCTACTTTTGAAGTAGCAGCAGTTTGAAGTAGTTAATAAAAAATAATCTGGTGTTCATTTGTTTGATAAATTCGAAATTATCTATTTATTTATACATTATCTGAACATATCTGTAAAAACTCTGGTTCCAAAGTTATGCCATTTCAATAGAAACAGATAATCATTTAATATAAATACAATCGAAAGCTCTTGAAATATTTTATGTTTTAAAAAGATCATACTCATACAAAGTCAGTACTTAATATTGATTCATATATATTTCCAGTTATTGAAGAGCTTTCTTTTAGTTTCAGAATTTATGATTAAAATAATAAAAACAAATTCACCATCCTTAATCGTCATTTTGTTTTTTAAGTAAATCTAGTATAACTGAACTAATAATTGTTTTACATTGACAATTTATTCATTAGTAAATTCACGAAGTTGTTCATTAATTAATTCTCGAGTTTATCCATAAAGGGTTTGGTTTTACACTGCCACAGATTTTGTGAGTTTCTTGACACAGAAATCAGTACCTATCAACAAATCAAAGTAGCAAATAAATTTTAATTTTCATTCAAAAAGTTACTTTTAGTACAACAGCGATATCAGTTTGACACTGTTTTTAAATATTAGTTTTTGTAAGCAACAGATCGGTAAAAACAATACAAAAGTAGTACAACACCACACAATTAATTTACATATGCCAATAACATAACCTCATTACTGATCTGATGCTGAAGATTTGTTGAGTTGATACTTCTGAACTTCCCGAAGATATTTACGAAAATTAGACCATGTTATAATTCGTGAAGAACTTCATGAAAAAATTCATGAAGTTATTTGATAGCATAATTGGTCATGAATAAATTCGCAATGTAAAACAGCTATAATGAACAAGGTACGTGAGTACAACATAATAATTTGTGAAAGCACTTTGAGGTTTTATCTGCATAGACAGGTTTTCAGTAAATCGGTGGTTGTGTTGTCAAAATTATCAGTTTCGGTGAAATGAGCTTCTCTAAAGTTTTTTAATAAAGCTGCGTTTTTCTGTAGAAAAGGCGAACTGCTACCTGGTCAAGTTGTTAGCATGTTGTGAGGGGCTGTTTATATTTGCTTTAGAGAGGGTTTAAATTAATTTAACATGAAATTTATCCAATAAACCTGCTTCCTTTTTGAGCTTTTATTGCTTTCACCATTGTCGTGTATGCATGATCCAAACCGTACTTCACATATTAATTATATCACTTATAGCAAAATTAGCTTTATTTTTTTTTGTTTGTTTGATTTCGTGAAAAAATTTACAGTTTTTCTACTGTGGACGTTCGCAAAACTCGCAACATCCTAGCAACTACAATTACAGCAATACCGTTAATATATTAATTATTACCGTTTGTGATTTTTAAATTGGTATTTTGTCTGTATGCTTCTGGAAATTACTTTTTGCAACAGACAGAATAACTCTGAGACTAATTTTAAATGTTTTCGCCTGCTCAATTTGTTGCCTCGACATTGTACGTTAATAAGATACGATTGAGAAGGCTTTTGATCGAGTTGCTTTTCAGTTCCTCTGTTCTTCGAAAAATTTACACGTTGCTTTGTTTTTTCTATTTCAGATGGATATGAAATCAGTTGGATCGTTTTACTATGACAATTTTGTAAGTATCTTAAAATCTATTCGCTTTAAATTCCATAATGACATGCTTTGCATTTACAAGTGTAGAAACTTGCTCTTTTATTTCTGTTTTATCGAAGTTGGTCCATATAACGGTAAAACCAGCGCATTCTACAACTAAAAGCTAGAGAAAAGAATTGTATGTGTATGAATATAGGCAGGGGTAAACCCCCTAAAGGTGAGCTTTTGAAAAAATTTTTCAGATATCTCCAAATGCGTTTGAAATGTAACAGTGAAATTTGAAACTAAAAATAATTACTCAGTGCTGGTCGCAGAGTGGTTGTAAAATTTTATGTGTTGTCAAATAAAGTGATTAATCAATAAAAGATTCTAAAACAATTATTGTATCAACTTTATCCTAAACACTTACAAAAGCGCCTTAGTTAAAATTTGAGAAATTCATTTATAAAAAGGTATAAGCTATTTTTTTAAATATCTGGAAAACCGCTTAATCAAATTTGTCCTAATTTGGTACACATTTTTTTTCAAATATTTCTCCTAGTTCTGTATGTAGACATTACAAATTAAAAAACCAGTGGCGGAGAAACAAGTATATCGTTTCCTTATTTAAAGTAAAACTTCTACGCCACTGAATTAATTGGTAATATGAATACATTTTATAACGGTCTGAAATATTCCGGATGAAAAATCATTTTATTTTTGTCGAAAAGTGAATGGTTTACGAGTTATGAAACATATTATCCAAGTAGACTTGCCACCTAGACTAAATTCCGATCCAATTTTAATTTTTTTTTGACAATAGCTTCCACTTAATGGAGGACATACCTACAGATTAACGAATCGAGATCTGGTTTCAAACGGGGCGCTAGCACATTCTGGTCAGATAGTTCGTGAATGGCTGACAAACAACTACCAAAACAGATGGATTGGACGGAATGGCCTCATACCTTGGCCACCTAGATCTCCTGATCTAAATATTTTGGATTATTTTAATTGGGGGTAACCTAGAAAAATGACGTTTATGTCGTTCCTATAGCAAATTAGGGACCAGCTAGTGCAAAGGCTAAATGGGGCCTGCACTAATTTGAGGCAAAATCCAGTTTTAATCAGAGCTGCTGTGAATTCTATAACCAAAAGATGCCAAAAGTGCATTGAGTTTGGAGATGGACACTTCAAGCAATTGATTTAATTTATTTGTTTTTCATATAACTTTACGTGTTGTTCGTGTTACTTGAAAGTTGACTCCAAATGTTTGCTATGATAGTGACAATGTGTATCAAATTTGAAAAATTTAATGAAGCGGTTTTCCAGATATTTAAAAAAATTGTTTTATTTTTGTTAATTTCAACGTCCTGTATCTCATAAACGGTGGCTTTCTGCGCCTGTGTTCATAGAGCAAAGTGATGTTAATTTTAGTTGTTTAGTACTGTCCCGAAGTTTATTTGTTAAAATCTGGACCACCTTGTTTAATAGTAATACATAGTTCCAAATTTCATCCAAATTCTAAGGTTTCGACAATATTTCACTTTTTATGGGCTTCTTACCCCATTAGGAGGCATACCTGTATATTCATGTGAACTTTACCTTTTATTTGTAGTTGTGGAATGCTGTGGTAAAATGTAGCAGTTTCAGGTCACTCATACATATTTCCACGTTGCTTTATCTTGCATACTGTCAACTTGTTACTAGATTATTTTGCTCTAGGTCTGCAGGGTGTTTATTGTCTTAAAAGCGGCAATCTGTCACTCTATAATAAAGGGTATTAGGTAATTTTTTTTTCGGGACCACCTTAGCATATTTTAGAAATGAACCAGGTATTTTGAAAACGTGTATTATATGAGAGATTGTATATGCCAGCAGGCCTTCCCAGCAGGCATGGTTCCATACAAGCGACCAGCGGCCGATAAATCTGGTGTCCCCGTGTACCAGCCCAACGCCACCACCTACCAACAACTAATGCAGCTGCAGCAGCCGTTTGTGCCCGTGTCATGTGAGTATTCCACCTCGCCCGCTCCCCCACCCTCCTCCTCATGTGCTTCACCCACAGTTCCTGAGGCAATCCAGTCCGTTTCCTCGGCCGCGCCCCAGCCGCAGCCGCAGCCGCCGCAGCAGGTCAGCAAAGACGAGGCGATCTCCTGCGTCACCACCACAGCCTCCTTGCCTTCTTTGCCACCGCAGCCCGCTATCCCCGATCCCGCAACGCTTGCTAAGGAGGTCGCCCAGCAGAATTACGCGAAAGCCGTCAAGTTGGCTGCCGTTAATCAGTCTCTTGCCGCTAATCAGTTCAGTCACCTGAACCCATTGAACTACACGGGAGTCGCGTTGAACAAGCAAGCGCTTACTGTCCCTCCTCCTACCTTTCCTAGATATCCAGCATTGCCTTTCCAGTTGAATGCCGCTACCAGTCTGAACCTGGGGCTTGCGAATCCCTATCAGGCCGCCATAGCTCAACAGAACTTGCTTAACATCAGCCGACCGCCTCCAAATTTCCAATTCAATCCTTATTCCATCATGAGGACGCCTTATACTGCCGCCAGTACGACTCCCATCTACGGCAACAGTATACTGAGCGCGCAGTATCCGGTGACCGTCTCGGCAGCACCGATGACCAACGTCTCTGCCTCGACGAACATCGCTGTTGCGGCGGCGCAGAACAACAACAATAACGTAGTCTTGCAGCCTTACAAAAAGTTAAAGACAACCTAATCGTTAACCTTTGTTCACTTTTAACTGTATTGTTTTCATTTTCGTTGGTTTGTGTAATATTTTATTAGTGAAACGTATTATTTTTTGCAATTTTTATTCATTTTTATGGTTAGTGTCTAGGAATACAGATCGGTACATCATCCTTTTTAACGTCTCTGTTGAAGAGAGAAATTAGTGATTTTTATATTACCGGTAAACGTGGAATCAGTTCTAATTAATTATTTTGACTTATTCAAAAATTATCTAGTCAAAAGATTTGTGGATATAGTAATTAGAGAACTGGGCAATGCTCTGAGCAAACCCGGACCAAGCGAGTGCCTCAATACTGTGATACCTTCACACCTGCTATTTGCACCGCTAAATAACATCCCCCTTATTACCCTCCTTACACCCTTTTAATAAACCCAAATTTATTAATTTTGGTGGATAAGATTAGTATGATGTATCTTTGCCATTAAAGTGGAAAATATTATATTTATTAGAGTTTATGCATGATACAATTTATCCGTATTTATATAATCCATTTGAGAGCCTAATTGACGCATGGTAGATACTTTACGCGTTGTATTTGTTAGAAAGTGCCATCTCAGAGTCTGTAGTTTGTTAACTGACCCAAAAAGACCGCCCTTTTCCAAGGTTTGTACGTAGTCTTATGATTGATTGGGGAATATATTGATTCCAATTTCGTTCGCCGGAGGGTACTGCCTCTGCCGCGTTGAGTTATACAGACTTTGAACATCTGAGACAACTCATACTGTGCTCTATGTTTGTGTATTAGTTCCAGTTTTGCATGGGGCTTACTTTATACATGTTCTGCATGTCCGTTTAAGAGATTTCGGTTTTCTTTTTGGGTTAGGTTTTTCCGGCCTCTCGACCTGTAATTCCGCGACATTCCTCCATAAGCCGGCTGGCGCGGAATTACATCTCGAGGATGCCTGCTAACTTACCTTTGTACACACTATTGAATTTACCAGACTTTTTTCCTGGAAAATGTTATTGTAATGATTTTGTTAGTGACATAAGTTGATGAACATGCAGTTGCCTCAAAGGCGGTTGTTATTTTTGTCTTCCTGGGTTTGATCTCGAAGCACAATTTGTAGAATTTCTTACGTTCTGCGTGTCATCTTTTTATCCATTGTAGTTTTTATCTTGTATGTAGAGCAAATATTTAGGCTTTCGTTAGTGCAATTTTAGTAGACTTCCAAAGCTACTACCAAAAATGTTAGCCGCCAAATTGTACGCCACAGTAGCGATAAAAGTGCTGTTTTGAAAATGCATATTCTTTATTTTAAGTCTAGTCAAGTATTGAGTTGTATTATAGTAAAATAGAGTATGGAATTCTACTAATATTATTAAATGCAATTTTATGTCCGTTGGTGCAACGAAGTGTTTGACACATTAAATTTTGAGGCTAAATATTTGTCCTGTGTCCAAGGTAGTATTATTACCTTTGTATTGTAAGATATAGGATAGAGTTAGACATAGAATTGTGATGTATTAATATTTGTTATATATAACATTTGCTAAAAGAAATGTGTCTTACTACTTAGCATTTAAAGGAAATTCACTTGTACTTTTACGAAGTACACCTTATTGTGATGCATGTAAACTACATAATAAGTAAATGTTCTATTAAGTCTATATACATAGTGTATAAAGAAAAGAATTTGCATTTTTAAGTAGGATTACTATGTACCAGACAGGTTAGACATATATCAGGCTCAATTATTTGCTATAGTAGTTTTGGTAATGGCCGAGTTGCCCAGTACTACCCGTTAGTACTGCGCGGCTGTGCGTAATCAGCTGCCAGCCACCTTGATCTTGACTTACAATAACGTAGTGCCTTTAGGCTGCTGATCACGCTTTGCTGAGGTGTGGGTCACGTTCGCCATATTAGTGTTAAAAACCTTTTCCATAATTTATATGATTTAATGTGTACTGTATTGTTCTAATCCTGAGGTGTATGTATTATCACCGCTACTATTTGTAATAATAATGCTTGAAAATGCATGATATTTGTTTTATTAATCATTGCTTATTATTTTGATTACTTCCAATATCCAATATTTTTTTTACAAGACCCCCTATATTCACGTGCCTTATACAAGTGCTCCTCAACTGGCTTCTTTTACTATATACAAGGAATACTGTACAGGCTGTAAACTCTACCCCGCTTGCCCCACATTTTATTTTTTGTGTTTTTGTATGTTGACGAATACCCCTACATCATTGCTTATCATTAACTAACACTACTGCTTCAATTTGCCACCACTACAATAAAGGTAACAAAGAGAATACAGGCGTTGAACTATTTGTATTGTATTTTTTCTTGACGTGATTTTATAGGCGTTTACAAAGAAGTTCCTTTTAAGGTAAGTACACAGTTTGAACCGCGCTTGTGATTTGCATAGCAAGGGAAACGATGTTTCTATTAAAAATGGGAAACATTAAAACAACCATTGCGAGGTAAAGCAAAAGTGATCACGCTAAAAATGACAATTGAAAAATAAATAATGAAACATTTACTTAACGTGTTGTGCTCATTCAAAAATATGAAAATATAGATACATTTGAACTGGGATTTAGTAGGATCGTATTCGATGCAAAGTAGAGCATAATATTGTCGGTCTTTTATCAAAGGAAAATCATGTCATCATTTTTAGAACGCGTAAGATGAACCATTTCAAATTTAAAATGAAATTGAATTGCATACGCATTGTGTTCTGGTAGTATCTGTAGTCGCCCAGGTGCATCGAGTGTACGAAATACTAACCGGGCGCGCTTGGGGGTACGTCATCGACCACCTCCAAAAAACAAGTAAACAACTGTGGCGCGTACAGAGGTAAAATGTAGTAGTAGTACATATGTGGAATTTAAAAAACAAACTGGATTTATAATAAATTACCTTTAAAATTAATAGTTTATGAGAATAAAGGTATTCTTGTAGGAACAGGGGTGCCAGACGTGGAGTGATTCCTTCACCCCTTCATAATTCATAAAGAAATTATTCAATTTCTAAACCCTTTAAAGCCGTACTGCACTGGATCCCTTGACAGACAATGATTTATTATTTTGCATCGAATATGATCCTTGTATAGTTGCTAACCTAGTTATTGTATTTTTTCCAAGGCGTCATTCTTTAAATTGTTGTCTTTATTTTCTCATGTAAAGTAGTAAAAATACTCATTAGAATATGTGATGGCAGTCACCGAAAACTGCAAAAATGATCAGTCATTGACCATATGTGACAGATTGCAAATGGCCTTGAATTTTTAAAATAACAATTTATTTTCCTATATTTCAATGACTCCGATAAAATCGTTATTTACAGTTGTCAATAATTATTTTGCTTTCACAAATATCTATGATTAAATGCAACATTTCGTCTGGGGTTGCTTTAAAATTATTCAAATAATGGACAAAATCCTGGAAAAAAGTACCCCTCTATACATTCTTTCGTATCTGTGGTCGCGACGCTGAGAGGCTCTACAAATTTTCCTTTGGTGCCCTTTGATATAGACGCTGAGACGCTCGGACGCTGGTTTCACGTTGTTTACTGTATCGTCTACTGTGTGTATTTGCATTGTGACTTGTTCACATAGTTTTCGTGCAGTTGATATAAGTTATAAATAATGAACAACCAAAAACGTTATTTATGGATGGAACAAATAATATAGTAGTGTTCGATATTAATATCTAGATGCTCTAGATGTGTCTCTTCATCTTTTCATTGCAATTACAAAAGGACGAAACATGTCCAGAACATCCAGATGTCAGTACCGTACGCTACTCATATATTTTTACCTCAAAGTCATTTGCTGTACCTTCGGACATATTTATTAATTAATTGTAAAAACAAATAAATAGATTTACTGCAAAATAATTTATACCGGATATATGACAACAGACGCTACGACGCAGGAAAGTTGATGCAACTTTTCAGCGTCGACACCACAATACGAGATTAGTTTTAACCATCGTTACAAAAGCATATAGAGGGGAAGTTTTTTTTAGCGTTGTCTGCGTCTGCATGAAATTGATCCCTTAATTAGTAAGTAAATTTAAATGAAGAAAATGAAAGAGACAGTAGTATGTATTTATCTACTCAATAAATATTTTTATTACATACTTAATGATCTTTATTAACAAAAAAGGTAAATTTTGGGACTGTTTTCTGTTTCTGTACTGAAATGTGGACACGTTTGTCATTTTATAATAGAAATCTTTTAATGTTAGGAACAATTCGTACTTTTTTTGCCTTTTATTTCATGACTAGTATACCTATAAATGGTATCGCAAATGACTTAACAATAATTGTTGTTCATATTTTCATACAAATGAAGCAATATTTTAGGTTCACTCTCACTTTTGCTAACGCTTAAGTATTAAGTACAGAAGTTAAACGATATCTTTTTCAGAAATCTATTTCGTTTCACTATTCGAATTTTGTTCGGATAGGATTTAATTATATTACTCTTATGTCGTTTCTGCAAGAGGTGAAACGATATAAGTCGATTAGACTCGCTAAATCGAATTGAAACGGTTTATTTGTAAAAAAAATCGAGTTTTCCAGACAGGTGGTGTCCGATCTCTTTATTTAGCATCTTTATTTAGTGGTGGAGTGGCATTAAGTAATGCAGGTTTTCTCAATAAAAACACAAAAAATAGTCTGTAGGAGGCAAGGTTCCTTTTACCTCCTGTACAAAAAACTGGTATTATTAGAAAGAAAAAGTATAATAGGCTTGGTGTACCCGAAGTGACAAAACAGCAAATCTGACGCTTGTGTAATGTGCAGCAACTGCTCAGCTAAAGAGTTCAACGTCTTATGGTGTTCTTAACTGTTCTATTGTGCACCCTTCTACTATACATATTTCATATGCACATTGCACAAAGCTATTAAAATTGAGAAAATTTAAGAGAGCTTACAAATGGATAACTAACCCAAGTGATGACAAAGATGTGTTTTTAAATCTACCGTAGTGTTTTGCAATGAGTGAACTATTAGAAGCTTTGTATATTTCGAATGTTTTCTACATTTTCTTATTTGCCAAACCTTTGTAGCTTTGTAGTAAGTAAAAATGTAATATGTAGGTAATTGGAATCATATATACTTATTTATATGAATTATCTTAACATTACATGAAATTATTTGTTTTATATATTGTTTACAACGCCATATTTAATATGTTATGTTTGCAGAATCCAGCCGCATAGACTAATTGTAGCATCGCAGATTTGTTCTACACGTAACAGCTTTTTTTAATCATTTTTAATTTCATATAGTTAAAATGCTTTTTCGCTTAAAAACCTACTTTTATTTGTAAGTAACAAACCTTTTATTTATTTTTAATATTGTTTGTTTCTCTCGATTATTTATACCGCTACTGTGTCATATTTTACTAATTTCCCCTTATTCTAGTTCTAATCTTTCAGATTCGTTTACTTCTTAATAATAATTGTTTTACAATTACGAGCAGTCACTTTTTTCTTTTTCACCGGAATAATTGAATCCCAAAATTTGAATCGGGATTATATTAATTAATACCTACATTGGACAAAATATAAAACAACAACGTTATTTTTAAACGATTATACAAAATCAGCAAATATTTTAAAATAATAACGACATGCCATTTTTTTTTAAGTTAAATATTTTGTATTAATTTTTGTGTCCCGAATCGATCCGAGTAAAAAGAAAAGTTAAGTTCAAGGCTGACTTTTTGTTTCCCTGCTAATTATTTTAAAATGCTAATATTCTATTTGCCGAGGGAGGTGTACAAAAAATATTATTCCGCGTTATTTTATGTCTTGCCGCTCTCGGCCGCTGTGCTGTGCGTCGGTAATATTTCGCCGTCAGTCACTGCCGGAATAAATGGACTATTTGGAAAATTTGTACAACTCGACGGCATTACAGCGGGAACATAAATAACCCCGCTTAATAAAGACCTGCCTATAAATTGTAATTTATTCCACATATTCATAATTTCATTTGCTAGATAGGTAGCTGGAGGAATTCGTAATTACTCTCTTGGTGATGATTATTAATTAAAGAGAAAAATTCCTTGCATACTTTGATGGAGCTACATTTTGTCATTATAGTAGGGTTCGGGCATTAAATTTATTTATTGTCATTGTTTGTTAATTAATTTATTTGACATATTCCTGGTATTTACAGAAACAAAGTGATTTAACGTTTATTTACTAGTGATTTCATTAAAGTTACAGTTAAATGTAGCGGGTGGTGGAGGGACTTACCAGGAATATCACTTAATGGCAGATAAGTCGGGGTCTGTTATGCATCACTACATTTTAAAGTAACATTGGTGTTAAAGTTATTTCTCACAGTTTGGTGTTGTATTTTCCATAATATTGTGTAAAGCTGAATATTATATTGCAGGAAATATATCATCATATAACATCTAATGATATATGGTATAACATCTAGCGATACGTAAACCTAAATTTTTTTTGTTTCAAAATCCAAAGGTAACAATAAGCAATGAATTATATATATTATTTATAAAGAAATGTGTTTATGCAGAACACAGGGTTGCAATACTCCATCGATAAAATCATCAGGTGATTCTTTGACTAAAAATAAGAAAAGATTGATAAGTTTTTAGGGCCGCAAACATTTCGTTTTTGAAATACAAGGTGATAAATTGTATTATTTTTTTCTTTGTTGCCACTCAAAATTCATTCAAATTTAGTACACTGAAATTTTGTTTAGGACAGACCAAATGAACCAATTTCTGAAACTATTCCGAACTTTTTTGTTGCGACAGTACTACTCATTTTTTTCTTTATTTAGGTATCGGATATTTTGCCACCTGTGAAAATATTTTTGTCTAACTAAAAATCTCGTACTGGAAAAAGAGAAACAAATAGAAAATACAAAATGCACGTCATATTTCGTCACGTTCCGAAAATCGACGTGTTTTCGTTTTAAAATTATTTTCGACAGTTCCAATTTATTCTATAATGATTGTTTAAAAAAGTGTTTTTTTCTG